AGCCCTGTGGCACTCCATGGCTAACTTTGGTTTGCGTGGAAGATTCATCGTTGACACGTACAAACTGAGAGCGTTCAGATAAATAGGACCTAAACCAGCCTAAAGCAGTTCCCCTTATGGCAACCATAACATGACAGTAATTGTCCACAGAAAATAATAATCCAAGAGCAGATAAAACACACTCCGATACCGCTGCCACCAATGTAACATCCGAGGTGTTAAGGCTTCAAAGATACTTCTGTGTAACAAGAACTCAGGAACTTTAGTACTTTTTGGAGCGTCACAGACAGCGCCTCCGTTTATTATTGTAGTCACACCACACTCTCTTTCACAACTTCAGGATAGACTGCGCATGCTCAAAACACATGACCTCTCAACCCAATGTTTACAATAACATGATTTCTGAGTTATTGGCATGAAGTCCGACAATTTTCCGACACTTACACTACACAGGGCATATTATCTCTGCTGCTATTATACTGTGAGCACTATCTGTTCCTACAGTGGTGGCCCTGTCAATCTCACACTGCTGTACAACTTCGAGAAACTAGAGCATGATTCAGCAAATTGCCTTTCTTCCGTTTTCAGCAGACCTAAAGAACGGGTGCAGAACATTTGTCATGGATTAGTTCTGCCGTTAAACTAATGTAGTGAGGGTTCTTACTGATGTCCAGTGGTTTCCAGCCAGTTGCTTCCTTTGCCTTTTCACTGCTGTCCAATTCATGCTAAACAAATCTGCGCTAGAATTACTTTAAGAAAGTTAGGGTCAAACATTGTCATGTGATTAATCTGCATTTATTTATTTTTCCATATTAATCACATTAATGTTGACAGCCCTGAATAAAAGCAATTCAACTGCAAATTTTACACCTAATATATCCTCCACCCAATCACATAAGTTTGATTCCGGTTTCTCGCCTCTTTCCCTCAAGTGAACAATAGAGACAGCTAGTTTTTGTTTTGATTTTGTTTTTTAAGGGGGCAATGTTAATAGTTTTATCTTCGACATATACCTTTTATAATTCAATCAAATGTAGCCCTGTTTTGATTAATGATTTATATGTGTACACATATATCACTTAAATTAAAAGTATTCAAAAGTAAAAATTACATTTTTAATGTAAATGATTTGCTGTGGCCAATTGTTTTCATTGCATTTACAGACCCTGGTAACTCTCAAAAACTCCTAAAAATAATCATAAATAAATAACATAATGAAAATAAATATATTGCAATGCTCAAAACAGCAGCATCCAACAGTCTAATCCTTAGATATTACATGTCACTGCATGCATGCACGGAGCACCTGTAGCGCGTCGTTCACTTAAAAGAGCTAGCTCTTTGAGCTGACTCATTCGCGACTGACACATCATTACTTTTCTGTTCATTTTCTTTATCTTTGCACCAATGAATTTCGTTCGTGTTTTGTACTGCAAATGTAGAAGCTATCTACTGTATCATTCAGCTGGTGCACAAAAAGTAGGCTACATGATGGAATCATTAAATTAAAGGTGGGGTAGGTAATTTTGGAGAAACCAGCTCGAGTGCGCTAGAATTTGAAAATACACAGCCGGGAAAAATCTGCCACAGACTGAAACTGCACAGTACAGTACGCGAGCGCCCATTGTTGCTCTTACTTTTTTTCCCGTCTCTTTCTTTCACTCTCCATTCCGCCTCCACAGTGATGCGTGTTGCATTAACGCTGAGGTGAGGAGTGGGAGGTAGAGGCCAAACTGAGAGGGCTACAAGAGGGATGGAGAGAGCCAGAGAAGAAACGAGTGTGTGGGAGAGTGAAATATGGATATGTGGGATAGATACAGTAGATAGATAGATATATGGATAGATAGATAGATAGATGGATAGATGGATAGATGGATATATAGATGTCGTTCTTTTTCTCCATCGTTACCTCATTTAGAAAATGTCTGAAGGTGATGATTTCCCAAGTGAAACCACTCAGGTCAAACTAATTCTAGAAGGGAATGAGAGAATGGGAAGAGGGAAAGATAGCAATACAGAAAGCAGATGAGTGAGAGAGGAAGCAGCTGGAGAGAAGAAGTTGGTCTCTTTGCAGCTCCAAAGCTCTTAATGCCCCGAAGCTGTGTGGAGTGTACATGGGAGGAGAGAGAGAGATAGATAGATAGAGGAAGAGAAGGAAAGATTGAGAGGCTGAATTGACAAGAAGAAAAGCTAGAAAGGGGAGACAGAGTGAAAAGGACAGGGGGAGGAGGAGGAGGAGGAGGAGGAGGAGGAGGGTTTGCGTTGGTGTGTTGGTTGGCAGAGCGAGCGCTTGTCAGAAAAACCTTCCTCTGACAGAAGGCATGATTCACAGCGGAGAGAGAGGAAGAGGGGAGAGAAAGAGGGGGAGAGAGAGGGAGACGAGCGTCAGAAAAGACGAAAAACAGCAGAGATAAAGAGAGGGAGAGAGAGAAACAACAGAGGAAGAGATGCCGGTAAGAAACGGGGGACTGCTGATTTGAGGCAGAATGACAAGACATTAACAGGATGGGACTGAGATTGACGCGCTGGATTGACTGATGCCTTTTAATGACTGTGACCATGTTGATAAGGTTTTGGCTTTTCTATCGATCGCGGGGAAAATAGAGCAGGTGGCAGCAGCAGAGAGAAAGAGAGAAAGAGGGAGGGAGGGAGGGAGGATGCTGAAGAATGAAGGGACACTGAAAAGATAGGCAAAGAGATAGAGAGACTAGGAATGATTCCCAACTTTCAATAGACTCCTTTGACAGAGCTTCAATAATTTGAAAGGAAGGCATTACTAATACAGTCTAAATAGATACTTTTGATTCTCTAACATTACATTTAAAAGGATCAGTACAAATACTTTTGAGAGACTGCTGTGGAAACCTTTCCTAAGGTGCTTTTCGATATCTGAATATTTTCTTCAGATGAGAAAAATAATTTGATTTTGAATGACTGTATGACTTTTCACTTGGAATTGGCATTTAATTTACATCTAAACTGGCTCAAGTGTGATGAAATTATTCAGTGTTGTCCTGAGCTCCCTAAGTATGAGGTGGATGCCAAGCTTCAGTGGGTCACATTTTTTTTTTTCTGTAATTCTGGTAACTTCCTGCAAGCTAATGTTTAGCAAGTTATTATGCTATCGCAGACAACGCTAGAGTTATCTGGCTAGCTGCTGTAGATAATCCAGTTTCCTGTCAAGCCACATTTTTATATTTTCATATTATGGCATATTGGAAAATTCATCTTCAGATTTTTCATATTGAAGAATGGAACAGCTTTGAAGGAAATTATTGACGTCATCTTGACTTTATTTTTGGCTCCAAATGCTTGGTACAGGCTGTCGCTATTACATCTGACCAACTCCTTTTTGCTTGCGCTTTTTAACTATGGACAGATCCCCNTTAATTAAATCAAATAAGTACATATCCCTGCTAAAAAAATCATAACAAAGTGAAAATCATAATAATTAGCAGCATTGTACAATATAGTTTTTCCTGAGCTTTGTTGCATGATATTCCCCTTTCTCCCTTCCCTCATTTTTTGGTTTCTCCAATTATCTAACAAGGTTCATAACAAATACAAATATGCTGGATACATTTAGCAGATTTGGTTGGAAAGTTCCCGATCACAGCTATAGTGCCAGGTTCATTATAACTTTGATTAACTTTCGTGGGATTTTTTGGGGATTTGCTAAACTATCATTTGGAAAGAGGGTATTGTATAAGGATTCAGATCATGTTCCATTTGCCAGATTTATGAGGGGCCATATTGGAATTTCCAAAAATGGCCCGTAATGTAAGGTTTTGTAATATCTTGGCCTGTAAATAACAACATTTGAAACACACATTCAGACACATGGTAGTAAAACAAAAACAACATTTTACAACATTAACACCTTCGATGCATGAGTCGTTCGATAAAAGACCTGTGCCAACATTTTTTAAGTAACAAAAACAAATTGATTTGATTATTTTTTTCATCTATTACTGCTATAATAGACCATTATCTTCTAATAGATAAAAAAAATATCTATAAATTCAATTCAGGCAAAAAAAAAATAATAATTCTTATGTAAACCACAGTTTTTCGTCTCCCTATGGCAACGGCCCTGTTCTTCAGACTGTCTGATATTGTGTTGTGGACCACACATAGCCTACTATATGAGAAAGTGTCCATCCCTCAAGTGTATTTTACACAGTTGCCCCATCACAGGGATCTCCAGAATCCTATCAGCTGACACATCTAGGATGGGTTGTTTGCACTCTGAATTATCAGGAATGCAAAAGCAGGAGAAACATCCAGCAATATTCCAGCTGGGCAAGGATACAACTCACTGTTTGTCTGAAAGCCTTCCCGTTGACACAGGTTGGAGCCTTGCCACTATTGCCAGAGGTGGTCACAATGAGTGTCAACTCTGTTGACTGTGATCATGCAAGCAAATCAGCTGAGAAAGTTGGCAGTGGGGAAGGATCACCACAGTCCATTACCTTTGAACATGGCCCTCTATGAGAAGGTGGTGCAGCTCCTAGAATGCCAGACCTGACCTGATAACAAGATGGTGTTCCCAGACTGGGTGAGCTGCATGTCGTCATGGCTGCCCTCAGAGCTCTTGGTGCCTCCATGGAGAACTCGGGTATAGATGATAGAGCCATATGAAATCCGCGTTCACGGAATCGCGGACGGAATCGCGGAATTGACCAATAAAAATGGAATCAACTGTAAAACGTGGAATATTGCAGAATTTGCCATAATTTGGACTGAAATTCCGTTTTCGGGAGAACGATGGAACGTTTGGTGCAAAGCAAAAATGACCGGGACGCTAACACGTGTTACAACGCACACGTCACTTCCACACTGCTTCACAACAACACAGCAATGTCCAAGCGTGTAGCTGCTTCGGTATCAACATCATCATCTAAAAAGCTACGAAATTCCACACTAAACCCTCAATTCAGAGCACAGCAGTATCCGAATGATTTTTATGCCTCCGGCGATAAGTTATTTTGTAAATATTGTCAACATACCGTGGATTGGACCCGCAAAAATACGTGCGACGATCATTTAGTCTCGAAAAGCCATGTCAGAAACAAGGGAAAACACTGTGCTTCCCAAAACACACCTGCACTTCAAACTACAATTACAGCAAGTACCTCGTCAGCAGATTCAAGACGAGAGTTTGTGCAGGACTTTGTAGCTGTTTGCGCCGAGTCAGACATCCCTTTAGCAAAGCTGAAGAAGCTGCGACCATTTCTAGTTAAGCACTGCAAGCAGGGAGGAGCGCTGCCCGAGAACGAAACAGCCCTTCGTCAAATCCATCTGCCCCGTGTGTTTGACCAACATATAACGGCTGTTTTGGAGAAAATCCGTGGGAAGAAGTTGTCGGTGGTTGTTGACGAGACGACCGATACCAGGGACTGCAGTGTTCTAAACATCGTCATTGGTGAGCTAATGAACAGCCTATTAACATGTCGTTTAAATATCCTAATTTTTTTTACATGCTGCAGTGTGCATTGTCAGCATGCAAAGTGTGATGACGATGATCTCTGCCTGGTGATCACAATAGATACAGCTAGAGGGCGAGGCTAATCAATGACACTATTGTGATTAAATAGCTATGTACAGTAGTCCTACATTTAGGACTATAGATGGAAATTATAGCTCCTTGCTAAATCTGGTGCACCAGTCTATTTTTTTAATGCAAATGATTGTCAGTGCTAGGGGTGTCACGGTTACCGGTGTAGACGGTAACCGCGCTAAAATATTTTGACGGTGAGATAACCTTCTGAATTTCAAAACACGGTGTTATGTCGGTGGGTTAAATTACCGCACACCGTTACACCGGGAGAGCTTTCATTTCCCTAATACTCCCACGGTTACACTGTATTACACTGTTACCGCGCTAAATACTTTGCATTTCAAAACATAATGTTATCTATGTGCGTTACTAGAGCTCTACACCACACACGTGACACTTTCGAACGTTCGCAGGCGCCACTATTCCTAGGTTCTTTTATCACACTCTCTCACTTTAAGCATGGCAGCAGAAGAAGGAAGCCGCGATGGTACCATTTTTCCACCTTCTAAGCGCAGAAGATCAGAAGTGTGGTCCTACTTTGGATATTTAAAAAACTCCGAGGGGCAACTGGTTGGAGGACGTGCCCCCGTGTGCAGGGAACATGCCGGCGGAAGGTTCCGCGAAAGGGAGCATCACATCGAATTTTGCTCACCTCATCCTACGAACCATCACCCGCAGCTGCACAGCCAGAGTGCAAGGTATATTTGTTAATATTAACACATAGTTTTAGCTGAAATGCTCGAAATAACTTTTGCCTTCGGGTAAAGGGGAATGTAAAGCAATTTATATCGACTGTCAATTAATGGCTAAATCTTGATGATAATCATTTTACATTACATAGCAAATGCACCTGCTCTCGTGTGTATTCACCATTCTTAGCAATCGGCGCTAAACGCCATTCTAAGCTAAGTTGAATAGCTAAACTTTGATATGCCATGAGACAGTGAAAATAGTGCATGAAACACATTAATGATAGATTACTTCTGACTTGGGTCAAGGGAAAATGCAACGATATACCCGATTGCCTAAAATGTTAAACCTTGATATTTAAATGTCAGTGTAGCACGCCACTGCTAGCATTTTAAATACATCCCTACTCGCGCGTGCCCATGCTCTATTCGCTGGTACTAGTGCCACTACTAACTCCATTGTAAGGCGCTAAACAGCTTAGTCTACCATACAGTACTGGCTTCTGCCTAATAACCTAACTTATAACCATTTACCTCATCAACATTACACTTTTAGGTAATAAATTAATGTAGTATTTGACTTCATACGCAAACTTGATGATTGTTGAAATTAGTAACTTAATGCCTGTTTTTCTCCTCTCTCTCTCTCTCTCTCATCTCTCTCTCTCTCTCTCTCTCTCTCTCTTCCTATCCTGTATATCTCTATATCTATATGTATCTAATTATATCCTATATATGTATATATATACCCCTATTTCCATGGTACTCTCATCTCCAGGTTGGATGTGGAGTTTGGGAACAACGTTGTTGTTCGAGGTCTTCGGATCGGTACCTGTCACCTTAATGTTAACACTAAAAAAAAGTAAAAGTACCGTATATGTATGATATATATGTGATATATGGTATATGTAATGTATATGTATATATATAATATATATATGTGATATATGTATATGTATATATAGTAATATGTGTATATTATAATGTATATATGTAAATATATAGATATATTATGTTATATGCTTATGTATGTATATGATATAATGATGTAAGATTAATATGTATTGATATGTATAATATATATATTAAATGTGATATGTAAATGTATTGTATATATATATATGTGTATATTTATATAATACGTATTATAATGTATATATGTATATATACTGTATATGTGTATATGTATATATAATGTATAGTATATGTACTACTGGGTATATGTATATATATTATATTGTTATATTGTAATATACTATATATAATGTTGATATAAGTATATGTAATATAGTGTGTATATGTATGATATATATATATGATATTATATATAATATATATGTATATATAGGTATATATGTACTATATATGTATATATATATATATATATATCATGTATATATGTAATGATAAATGTATTGATATATAATACGTATGTGAATATATAATATATGTGTATATAACTAATGTATGGTGTATATATAATATGTATTGTTTATATATATAACTATGTGGAATATAGTATATATATATATTATGTTTATATATATATATATATGTGTATATATATCATAGTGTATAGTAATTATATATATATATTGTAATAGGTAGTATATATAT